GATTAGCATACAGCTTTAAGGGTCCATTAGGTCCTTTCAGCCACAGTTTCCCCCACAATTTAAAACTGAGTTGCCCACAACTCAGGAGCACCTCTGACAGAAAACACATCATCTCCTTGAAGCTGAGTTTGCCAGAAATCCCTCTGCTCCACTAGCAAGGCTCCAGGACCAACCAAAACAGCTGATGCAGCCACCACAGGAATGCAACAACACGTGTATCCACTGTGTATGTATCCAGCTATCACCCAGCTCTGAGGAGCACAGGAGGGCACTCCAGGAGCCAGGACCCAACCACAGGACACGCCTAGAAGGCAAATAAACTCTGCATATACAGAGACAATTTCTGAAAATCCACCACAACTTCAGCTTTAAAGAGCAGCAATAATGCAAATGTCAAAAAAAGCAGCAGCCAGAGTACCCATAAGCACCCAAACTGGCATTTCTACTCTCCCCTGCTGGGAATGATGCAACAAAGAGGAAACAAGAGCATTACTTATGAAGAAAAGTTCAGCATGAAGGAAGATTTTTCCAAGCGCATCCAGCCCTCACTCAAATGCACAATTATTCTTCTGCAGGATCAGAAGAACCCAGAAATCAAACAACCACACCCACAGGATCTTCAGCTGGAGGAAATGAAAGGCAGACTCCATGTGATTTGGAGAAGGATGACAAATCCCAAAACATTGGGAATCAATGCAACTAGTGGAAAAAATGTATGTAGTAGTTTTTACAAAAATACTAGAAATGGCTGTAATACACATGAGAACAATTTTCCTAATAAAAGAATCTGATGCCAGAAATCTTATATAAACTGGTTGCTTCCAACTTCCTTTGTGTAGTTCTTGTGCCTACCTGATGTTACAATTCCATGGCTCAAAGAATGAGCTGGAAGCTCTTTCTCACAATCCTACTATTCTCTCAAGTCAGTTTTTCCATAAACTCATTCTGAAACATGTATTAAGCCCTTCAAATGAAAAGCCTCATTCTAGACAAGAGAAAAAAAATACGTATAACGACAACTCATAATTTAGACAGTTCTGAAAAACTTGAGAAATAGCAGAAAAGAGATATTAGTATAAGCAATGTACAAGCAAGTTAGTAGTCACTTTTGATCCACTAGAAAAAACTGTCTTAGTCTTGATGATCTTAAAAATATCTACTCAGTAATATCCTAATGATTCTTGAAATAAATAGTACAATGATATTTATTGAGACATCTGATTCTGTTTTATTTTTTCACTAGTAAGGCAGCTCATTAGTTCAAAACTATTTGGCAAACATCTGATGAACGCACAAGTAGTTCTCCTCCTATGCTGACTTCTGTAGCTCTCACTCCAGATTTATTTTCCTAAGTTCCAGCTCTTCCCTTCCTCCACACAACCTCCTTCCACATACAAGCAGGTTGCTCCTGAGATGAGTTTTCACTCCGGTGCTCTCCCAGGTGCCAGGAGCCGCGTGTCCCGCAGTGGAGCCGGGTCTCAGCTGAGCGAGACCCCGCCGCAAGGTCCCCACACGGCTCACCTGTGCACAGCCGCCCTTTAGCTCACGCACAGCACCTGCGCCCACCGCTCATCGCCAAGGAAGAGCGAAAATACGAGAAAGCTGCAGAAAGCGCAGGTCCGTGGCCTCCTTCAGCCGCTCCCGTGTGCCGGAGCCGTCAGACGCCGTTACTGTTGTTACCCGCACGGCCCCGAGTAACGCAGCCGGGCGGCCGCACGCGTGGGCACAGACCTGCCCCGGCCACTCGGGAGCTCCCTCCCAGCGCCGGGCAGGCAGCCCTCGCCAGTTCCCCCTCCAGGCATCGCGCTGCCGGAGGCCCCGCACACGAGGCGCACCAGCCCCGCGACCCCGCCGTGAGGACACCGCGCCCGGGCGGAGACCACGCTCCGCCGGCACGGCCCGGCCCGGCCCGCTCCGCGCCGCTGCTCACGCCCGCACGGCCGGGGCGCACCGCAGCCCCCGCGCTCTGCCCGGGCAGCGCTGCACCGCAGGCTCCCGCTGCCGGGAGCAGCCCCCTCGGGCTCCGTCACCGCCCAAGCCCCACCCGGCTCCCCGCCATCCCCTCCGTGCCGACACCGGCAGCCGCCGCCAAGCCGCCGCTGCGGCCCCGTCCCGCCGCTCACCCAGAAGGGCTCGGAAGCGTCCACGCTGCAGAAGCTCTCGATCCCCATGGAGCGCGGCGAGGCGACCGCGGGCTCCCGCGGCAGCGCTTCCCCGTCCACAGCTCTCCGGCCTGAGCAGCGGCGGGCGGGGCCGGGCCGGCAGCGGCAGCTCGGAGCGCTGATTGGCTCCGCGTCACGGGGATGCCGAGCCCGGGGCCGCCGCCGCCCGCGCTGCGCAGCCCCGCCTCGGCGGGGCGGGGGCGGCCGGTCAGCGCCGCGTGCGGGCACCGCGGCGTGGGTGCGTCCCGCGGGGCCACCAACGCCTCCGCATCACGGCGGACGGCCCAGGAGCCTCGGCCAGAGCCCGATGCCTGCCTTTGTTCAACGCAGAAATGCGCCCCCGGCAGCGTAGCCGGGGCGGAATCGCTGCCCCCGGAGCACCGCGGGCGCGCCCTTCTGCCCGGGTCAGTTGTCCCAGCAGCCTCCAGGGTCCTGCGCCTCGCACCCGCAGCCCGCCGGGCTGGGCCGGAGCCAGCGGTGGGCATGACGGTATGTCCCTCTCCGAGACACCGCTCCTGGGAACTGGGTCCCCACGCGTGCCCCGAGGAGAGGCACCGCAGTGCCCCGCTGGCACCCGGCCCGCGGGACTGAGCCAAGGCAGGGTCCGAGGGGAAGGCCCCAGGGAAAGCCGAAGTTCAGCTTTAAACCGCTCACTTCTCAGCGTGAACCAGTTGTACTGGTTTCAATGCCCTTAACTAGTTCAAGTTGATTAGCACAAACAGAACCGAGACAACTTCATCCACAACCAGGTTTGTATGAACATACGTAGTAGTTGAGCTGACTGCACAGCCCTGTGGTTGCACTGGGCTGTCTCACGGTGTCTTCACATCCTATTTAAAATGCTCCAGTTAAATCCACAGTCAGCTCGCCTGACTACTGTACCAGAATAGACCAGCTGGAGTATGGAGGTACATATGTAGGAATGGCATCGCATGCTGCAGGAAATAGCAGGGTGGTTACATAGTACTCTACAGTAACATCTGAAATCTTTAATCACACAAACCTCAGTTTAAAATGCTCTTGTCCGTCCAGCACAATCACGGTAACAGACAAAATTGTTAAAAAGAGACAGATTTTGTTTGTTTAATGTGTAACTTAAAAGCAGGCATCACACACACAAAAAATATATCACAGACTGCTTCTTTATTCACCTGCCCTTTCAGAGCTGCAGGTTCAGAGCTGTGCTAGTGGTGGCCAGATTGTCCATCCGACTGCAATATTTCTGTCTGTCCCCCTGGATCCCGCATTCTCAGAAGAGCAGCAGTGGCTGAGTCCAGCCCACCCAGCTCCCCTCTGCATTGATGAGCGGAGCACAGAAAGATCAAACCACACACGGCGGGTGTCAGAAGTCCTATGAGTTTGTCAGTTTAACCCATAGCTTAATTCATATCATGTTAAAATCTTTACAGTATTGGAAGACAACAGATAAATGTTCAAATATGATTCCCTTTATTTTTATATGCAAAAGAGAGTAAATAAGCAAGAAGTGAGGAGTCTCTAGAAAGATACATTTTTTACCCACATATGTTTATTGTAAGCTAAAAGACTAACAAAATTTAAGTTTCACATTCCAAATACTTTTCTTTCAGCCCCAGACTGTCCCAATGTCACCAATCGTCATGCTCCATGTCAATAATGTTTCTCCTCAAAAAATTATTCTTGGATTTCCACCTCAAACTAGTTCTATTCCAATTAATTCTATTTCCTTGTAGACCAAAGTACAGAGTGAATAATTAATGTGAGAGGAAGCAAAAGAGTTTGGAAGAAAAATGTAACAGATTCAAAATATTTTTTGTGGAGGAGAAAAACTAGAGCTGACACAAGGCCAAACTTGCAGAAATACAGAACCAAATCTCAGAGTACCAGGAAGTCACTGAACTTTGTGGATTTCACAAACCATTGTTGTTAAAACACAGATTAATACAAGAAATAGAAACTGAAATCTTGTCGAAAAAGGAGATTCCCTTGCAAGCAGAAAAAAGAACTACACAAAATTCTATATTAATTTTTTTTGTGGAATACAAATTGAAGCCAGTCAGGAAACTGAAGCAGTGTGGAAAACTGCAACAACTTATCAACGGGAAATCAGGTGTGATGGAAGAGTGACTCACAAGGTCATGGAGAAGTTTGGAAGGATGCAGAGAAACATGTTTAGACTGTGAAAATGCCGTAACATTAAACACAAACAGCTGTTTGTCCCCGGAGTCCCGCAGAGATCCGGGCAGCGGGCTCAGGGTGGCCAGGGGCAAGCACTGCTCTGACTCGCTGCAGCGACTGCTGGGCTCAGGAAACACGTTGACTTCACCACCACTTCTGATTTTCCTAAATTTTATTTATTGACCTCTACCAGAGAGGCTTTGGAAGAGTGTCATATAAATATTTGGTTTGAGAGGAAATGTAACAAACAAACAAAACAAAACAATCCTAACAAACTCCCCAATCCCCACCCTTAAGTCTTGTCTTAGGCTTTACTCCCTAAGACAACTCATATTTTCCTTCAAGCCCCAGCGGACAATAGCAAATCCAGTTTGTTCACCCACACCAGCCGCATTTCCTTTGGGAAATACTTAATGCATTGACAGAATAAACACTCTTGACTCATCCCAGCAACAAGGAGCACACACACAAGCTTCCAGACACGCCAGGGATCCTCAGGCTTGCAAAACACCCCGTATACAGTTACATTTTGGCAAGTCCTTTTTATTAGAAGCTCAGCTTTGGAGAGTCCTTTTAATCAACAGTACATCTGTCAGGGACTCGGTGCAAAACTCCTCCGCTGCACACATGGAGGAAATTCTCGCTCATTTTCCATGTTTCCTTCGCCGATTTTTGCCAACCTCTGAAATTACAGAAGGAGAAAGCGTGGCAACCCTGACACTCCGCCCAGCTGACGGGGCTGGACAGCAGGACAGCGAGCGCTGCACGGGCAGCACGGAGGCGCTGCTGACGCCGGTTATTCTATCCCGGCACGACCTGGCCCCGGGCCGCTGGCAGCTGAGGGATGCCCCGGGGCTCCGCTCCCTGAGGGGCCGGGCGGGAGCCGCGCCGTCCCCTCGGGGAGGTCCTGCCGCCCGGCCCCGCTCTGTTCCCTCAGGGAGCTCCTGGCCCCGCTCTGTTCCCTCAGGGAGTTGCCGACCCCGCGCTGTCCCCTCACGGAGCTCCCTCCCAGCCCCGCGCTGTCCCCCCACGGAGCTCACTCCCAGCCCCGCGCTGTCCCCTCACGGAGATCCCGCCGCCCGGCCCCACGCCTGCGCAGTGCGCGCGGCGCCATCCGGGTCCCGGCGCGGCCATGGCGACGGTGGCGGAGCTCAAAGCAGGTCGGGGCGGGAGCCGGGCTGGGGTTGGGGATGTCTCGGGCTGCCGGGAGGGCAGGAGCGCGGATCGGCTTTCCGCGGCCACACGGATGGGTCTCAGAGCTGCCGCGGGCGCTAATGGGGGCCCCCGTCCCTTGGCGCTGCCCCCGTCCCTTGGCGCTGCCCCCGCCATGTACCGCGGGCTGTATTTCTGTATACTTCTGTATTAAACGCATCTTGGTGCAGTAACATCCTATTTCTTAGATTGCCAGAATGTATGCTTGCGACTAAAAAAAAAATAATAAATTTGTATTTGTGAGTTTTCTGAAGGTTTAATTTTATCAGGGCCGCGCCTGGCCTGGTGGGTCGTGCCCAGGTGCCGATACCGTATCGCTGTGGCACACCTTATCGCGCTCGCCAAAACTCTGTTTGTATCGGGGCTAATTAATGCTGGAGTGCGTTTGGCTTTAAATTAACGCGCCTTTTCGTGGTGGTAGTTTTGAAGGACACACTGGAAAAAAGAGGAGCTCTTGCCCAGATCAAGGCGAGGATCCGAGCTGAAGTGTTCAATGCCCTGGAGGACCAGAGCGAGCCGCGGCCGACGCTGTCCCGGGAGAACCTGCTGATCAACGAGCTCATTCGGGAGTACCTGGCGTACAACCACTATAAATACACTGCGTCTGTTCTGACGGCAGGTATTGGCCGTGGGTTTGTGTCATCGCTGTACCAGTAATCAGTGATTGTTTGGTTGAATAATTCCAGTGATATTATGGAATTAGTAAGTGTGACAAGCTGCATAATCTTGTCTTCCCTTGGGAATTAACAGGGTACAAACAACCTCTCCGCAGCTCTACTTGCGGCATTAAGCTAAATCACTCCATTAGTTTTCAAGAAGACTTACTCTCTTCTCCTTTACCCTTGAGGTAAATTGTTCGACACAGTAGTTGATGCAAGGGCAAGAAAACTTGATAACAGCCTGCAAACTCAAATTTCTTGACATGCCTGAGAGTAGTAGTTTAGAGAAAGAGTTGTTTGCCTGATGAATTTGTCTTTGTACTGTAAAACTTCTTTAATATTTTTCTTAGATTCTTTAAAAGTGAAAATAAAAACTGTAATGTGCTATTGTAAGTTATACCTGTATTAATTACTAATGCTTAAGTGAGTTCCCTGGAATTACAATACACTGATAGTTATTCATAATCTAAAAGGGAGCTATGTGCTCTTCTGTTAATTGGTGACATTTTTCTTACTGGTCTTAAGATCCAGGGATTTTGTTTTCCAGAATCCGGCCAGCCTGAAGTGCCCTTGGATAGACAATTTCTTGCCAAAGAGCTGAATATAGTTGAAGATGCAAGTGGAAAATCAGTGTAAGGAAGAATTTTGGAATGCACTGTATATTCTGTATATTCTATATGCCAGTATATTTTTCTCTTTAGTGTAATTATAAATCACATATAGATGTTCTCACCAATTAAAATGTGGCTGATCCCACGCATGTTCTAAAATGCTGGATTCAGCTTCAGGATGCCAAACATGAGGCTGTTTTCAGACATGCTCCAAACTAACACTGCTTTCTGCCAACGCTGTGGCATTCTCCAGATGGTGCCCTTGTGCCCCAAAACACAACTCTCTCACCAGTACAGTCTACAGAAAGTAGATCTGCTCTTTGCACCTCTTGTGAGTTGCTGTGTGGAGCAATAGAAAGATTACTGTGAGATTAGATATAAAATCAGTGCTGCAATAAAACTGCATGAATGGCCTGAGGCTGGAGCAGGTTCAGACACGTTCAGCATTCTCTGTAGCTCGTGCTGTCTGAACCTGTCAGTGCTGAGGAAGAGCCAAGTTTGAGATGTGCCATGGTGGACTGGGCCACCAAGGTCTGATCTGTTGTGAGTGTGTGGATCCTCCTGATCCATGGCTGAGAATGTGGATCTGTGCTCCTGTGCTGAACACACTCCAGTTCTTCACCTGCCAGGGGAGCTGAAGTTCAGTGGAGAGTATCTCTTAGTCTGAGCTTTTTAGGCAGTGTTGGTGTTCAGGGGGAGCTTAGATCCGTGCTTATTTATGTAATGATACTTGGATGGGTTTTAAGTCAAAAAAGATGTATGTACATATTGTAGAAGTAAATATTAAGATCTAAGAAGTCCTGGGAGAAGGGTGTATTTTAATGCTCAGTATTTCATAGACTTTACAGACTACTTTTGAATTTCTCCCTTATGCAGACCTCTCCTGTATGGAATTCTCTCTCATTTCTTACATGGTGGTAAAGAAGAAAGTACCCAGAATATCCTGCCAAAAGTGTCCTTGCTGAATTATCCAAAGCAGAACCTTGGCAAACCAGCTGCTGAGAGAAATCAAAAAGGTGTGTGCAATGTTATTTTTGCAGAACTTTTATCTGTGACCAGATTTCCTACACCATGCATGTGCTTATATTAGCATAACCATGCAGCTGGACACCGTGTACCTCCTTCTCTGTGCAAGGAGTGCTTTCATCTGACACCAAATGGCTTTTACCCTAAATGTTCAGCTGGCCAAATTGTACTCCCTTATACTATTACAAACCTGAAAAGGGTCAGCTAGAGACAGTCTCACTATACTGGGAATTCAATACAATATTTTAACCTAAATTCTCAATAAAATAAATAGTGGGCATATCTCTGTTTCTTATCTGGTCTAACCTAATGTCTGTAGAAAGTTCTTAACTCTTTATCTGTCAGTTCTTTACATGGGCATAAACTTCTTCTGAGAGCATAACTCATATTCTATTTGCCACAAAAGCTTAAGCCCAAAGTTCATTGCTCTACAGTAAACACTGCTAAACCTTACTTGCCTTTTCTGGCCTGCTTTTGGACTGCTTACAATTAATACCACCTAAGCTAGAGAACAAAAAGGTTCATTGGCCCAGCTTTTTCCTTCTAAGAGTCTGCTTGGCATATTGCTTCATTTTTTACTGTGAAAATGTATTACTCTCCTGTTAATACCATGAACTGTTTGGTTTGTATCCAAAAGCTTCCAAAGTATGAAGCCTGAGATTTTACTGACATCTGAAAAGGGTGAGAAGTACTAACATTTTTTTAACAGTTAATTCATTGAGACAATGATGTTTTTCTTCTGCCAGAAGAGGGGGCTGAAGAAACAAAATTTCCATACCAAAACTACTATAAATTACTTCTTTGTTAGAAAACAATTATTCCTATCAGAAATTTCTCCATTTTTAAAACAAACTGAATGTATAGGAGAATTGTTTTTAAAGTAACTTTCGTTTCTACTGACTCTGCAGGGTCACCCTGCCCTGCTGACTCCAATATAACTTCACCTGGAGATTTAATTGGTTACAGTTAGTTATAGAACACAGGATCAATCATGAGACACAACAGCACATTGCTGTTTTAGAACTAAACAAAAAATTAATTTTTGAAGGCTTTGAACCTTTAAGGAAATGTATTCTGAAATTACTTTCTGCATGTGTTTGTGGATTATGTTAGTTGGCACCTAAAGGAAGTGGGTTTAAAATATTAATTATCCAGCTGTGTTCATTAGGCTGCATATTCATAAACTCAACCTGCCAAGTCTCTTATTTAACATCTAACTTGCTTTTCACTTTAGAAATTATCTTGTTTATTTAGATGTATGAGTATCCCAGCAGACTGGGGATCCTGGTGAAAGGTGTGAAATCTGGTGTTTCTTTTCTCATTCTCTACAGCTGAGTTGGAAGTTGTCTGAAATCCACTCTCAGTAATAGAAAGCTTTTATCTCCTACATGGCATGGAAATGCATGGAAACATTTATCTATAAAATTTCCTAAGTTCCCCATGATGATATTGTTCATCACAGTTGGTAATACTAGAAGGTAACACACCTTGGACTCCAGATGCATGAGAACATTTTTGTGTGTTTCATTTTCAGACAGAATTCCAGAACCAGGAAGGATGGCTGGCACGAGCATCGAAGAGCCTCTTATTTTACAAAGTGTAAAGAGATGATATCTTTCATTTTTTAATTTCTCATTTCAAGGTCTGTCAGATTTAATTTAGGACATTCTTCGTTGCACAAATTTCTCCAGTAAATCCAGTGGGACCATTTTAGCTTGTAACATCTACTCGAGACAGGATGACAAGGTCATGCTTACTGTCAATTTAAAAAATGTTAGCAAAGCTCTCTTTCCCCACTGCTGATAGAAGGAAGACTGTATAGGGACTCACCTTAGTGAATCCTGGATCTAGAATTGCACCTGAATATACTGAGTTTATCCAATAAATTTTTATATAATAACTTATAATTTTTACTTTTATATCCTTGTGTGTTTTTCCTGTGTTTCTGAATAAAATGTTTCAATTTTATTGTGTGTGGTATTTTGAGAGTGTTCAAACTAAACATTTCAATCATTCTTTTTAAAAAGAAGCTGCAACTTTCAGATACGTAAGGGAAAAGAAATTCTAATAGAAAAATTGAAGTGATTTAGAGGGATAGTTGTTTTTAATTCTCCAGAAATGGAGACTATATTTATCCTCATTCCAGCAAACAAACAAGAGTAAGTTTTTTCCATCTGGAGTTGCTATAAATTGTTTGGTGTAACACTGGGTATATGGGAGGCAAAGGAACTTCTGGGTTTTTTTCCCAAACAGCATGAAACGAAGTCAGGGAAAGCTAAAAATAAAGTTGATAGTAGATTACTGATTCTCAGAACTCATTTTTAGCTGAGGATTTTACATGTTTTGAAATGGCAATTTATTTTAAAAGCCAAACTTGCAGGAGTACATAAAAATAACATCTATTTTTTTTCTCTTCTCATTTTAACAAAATGCATAAATGTTATATATATCCAGTGGTACTGAGAGGAGTTTTGTATAAATAAATCTTTAGAGGAAGGTCCTTAAAAATCCTTATTGTTAGATAAATGGTAGAGTGGAAGGGGGAAGAGAGGAGGAGAACCTGCAGTTTGTGCAGTTGCAAGGACCCCAAGTTGTGAATTTCACACTGTGAAGTTTTGCCTTTATCTTGATTTGACCCAGTTAGCATTGCAGGGATACTTTTTATTTCTCCCAGCAGCCTGCACTGTAATGTGGAGTTGCAGAGAGGCTGCATTTATCCATTTGAAGCCTCAGCAGTGAGCTCATCTCCTCTGTGACTGGCAGTGCTCCTTGCTGGCTGATTTGTGAGTGTCTCAGGACTGCTGCCAGGAGGGGAGGACCTGTGTTCACAAATAAACCTCAATCAAATCCATCTTTAAGTCGTCTGCAGCAGTGGCAGCTGACCACTGGATCAGGCAAGGGAATCTCTGTTTGCTCTGTGCTCACACCTCTGTCACCTTCAGCTGCTGGGCAGAAGAGCCATCCCTGAATTTCTAATTTTATTCTCTGGAAGTTCTAGAAGTGCTAGACCCCTGTTTTTCCATGAAGCAGTGGATCAAATTGTTATGTGTATTTGGATTCTGAATTGTCTTTTCAAGGGCAAAGAAAAGGGTTCTGAAAACACAAAAGCTCAAACCTTCTGTGCTATGCAAATGTTTCAGTGTAACCAAAGGCACTGCTTCTGCTTTGTGTCTTCCCACCATACATCATTCAGATGCTACCCAGGTGCTATGGAGCTCCCTGGGAAATTAATTTTTATTGGTAGAAATTAAAAAAAAATATCCCCCAGGCTGAAGAAGGCAAAGGGATGTTTGGTACCTGTCCTTTCCCAAGCACACAGCTCAGCAGGCTCCTCTCTCCACAGTCAGGAAAGCAGAGGCTGCTACAAGGGCATCCTTCACTGAGCTTTGAGGTAAAGATGCATGTCTGAAATCAGAGACAAAATACATTTGAAACAACGGGAATCTTTGGACTGTTTTCTCTGGGGATTCACCCATTGTACAGACACTTGTGTTGGACAGTGGATGGAATTTGGTCTGTTTGCTCTGGGTGTAACTTGAATTTCATCTAATTCTCCAATACCCTCACAGCCACATCTGGGGGTTAGAAACAATCTCTTGTTTCAAAGTATAATCATTGTACAAGCAAACTAAAGGCAAATTAAAGTGTATTTCCAGTGATGTTTATTTACAACAAAGCTTTGAAATATGTCTATGAAAATATACTGGTCCAATCATATTATTAATCGTCTAGCATTTATCTTGTCAGTACATGAAATATGAGAGTATCTTTCAAGATACTGACATACAGCAAATCCTCTGAATGTCAGACTGCCTGCCTTGTTACTGGGTGAAGAGGAATTGCAAATCTTTCCCACATGGATGCATTTAGCATTCCTTAAAATTTTAAGGTGAGATCAATATTTAGATCAAAATATTTCACAGTCCTAGAGTCACAGGTTCAGGTTTTAGAAGAAATTGCCACCTAGGTGAGCATACACAAAAATTATTTTCTTTAATCCAGAAATTGCATAATTACAGCCTGGCATGTCTTGTATTAAATGTCCTTATTCCTTCTACTGACAACAGAAAATGAAAATGAAAAAAAGAAAAAGATACAAGCATATAGAAGTTTAGGGTCTTTAAACAGCAAAATGCATTTGTGAGTTTTGTTGGAGAAAGAACATTAACCAAGAGCATTATGGAGGGAATGCCATTAAAAGAGGCTGCTTGTTGTCTAAGCACATTATCACAAGTGAAGGTGACAAGGAGCCAGTGAAGTCTGGTGTGGATATCAGATCTGGAAAGCACTTTGGAAGAACTTAACCAATAAGTTTTAAAAATAAAAAATTCTTCAAGACCAAATTTTTGCTCTCCCCTTGAAGGAGAGCAAACTGTGTCTCTCGACTGCAGCTGTGCTGTTTCAGAGGTTTCAGTTTCTGTCCTGCACAGAGGAGATTTTTTGAAGCTTTATCAGCTCCCCCCGAGGAGTCAGTTACGTTTTCCTTCCTGAGCACCCTCATGTCAGGCACCCAATCTCGGTGCCACTGGATCAGTTTTCCGGAGGACTGATTAGCCTTGGGTAATCACCTTCAGGCAAAGAAACCCCAAAAGGTTTGTTCACACTTGCAAATACACCCTTTCAGCAGCAGCTGATTCAGACCTGCTCTGTGCACTTCACACTCTTCACCTGACCGCCTGCAGCAGCGTGAGGCACAAACATCAAGCAGTTGGTGAATGTTTTCCCTCATCAGACTGTTCTCAAGATTGATTGTCCTGGCTTGGACACAGACTGTCCCTCCTGCTGCAAGGGCACACCTTGACACAGGTGGTAATCCACCAGTACAATTACCTGTTTTAATTACACTTGTCATCTTAGAGAAACATGGTTGGTAAAACTTGAGTAAAAACATTTTTAAACAAAACAAACATTGCTTACCTGATGCTTTAACAAACTAACATCACCGTCTGTGCTTTTCTCTTTTCCTCTCTCTTGTGTTCAGGTTACTGAACACATGGTAAGGCAGCTAAAAGTTCACTTCTTTCCTTCTTGGGTCCTCTTTCTTTTCCCCAAGTACAATATTTACAGTGAAAATTCAGTAAGGAGATATTTAAGGGTAGGGTACTTCATGCTTTATTTTTTTCTAGGAAAGTAATTAAAACAAATAAACAAATCAAGAGGGTTTAAACAAAGCTTATTTTCTTTCTTGTCACAAACTCATCATCCACTGGAAATCCACAGCTTTCATTTTGAGGGAACTTTTGTTTAAAACAAATACCACAACTTTCAGGAGCCCCCAGCCAGGCTGTCAGATTAGTATATTCTTACATTAGCTTTTAAGTGAAGGTTGGAAGCCATGCTCATACTCATCAATTCCTACCCCACATAGCTTGAGAGTGCAACTCTTTCAGTCCCAGCAGTAAGCAGTAATATTTTTTTTTTACTTTCCAGCTCCATTTAATGTCACATCATAGATCACCCTCCGGCACTGCTGCTGTTAAACTCCCTCCTCGGGCAGCAAGCCTGCGTGTGCAGTGGTTTGCAGACCAGCCAGAATAATTTCCACTCCTTTTTAAGCTACTATTATAATGTGTCTGGTTTTGTGAAACAGCTGCATGTGTTTAAAAGGAGCTTCTTAGAATAACTTTGATGAATGTTAAAATGATCATACTTTTCAGAGGATTCCCTTGCATTTCATTGTGTTTCTAATTAAAAGCTAAATTTGCAATCAATAAACTGCAGGGGAAAAAGTAAGGTGGGGTGAACTACCCTGCCCTGTGAGGAACTTTCTGCTAACAAGGACAAGTTTCTTGGATTTATGTGGTGGTGATCATTTCCCTGGCTTTGCTCCAACAAAGTCACGCATGCACAGGTCTGATATGGCACTGCTGGGTCCTGCAAGGCTCTGCATGGCTCCGTGGCAGCCCCACACCACTGCAGACACCAACCCTTCCTCTGGCAGGACGGTCTGTGACCTCTGGGACTGTGTCACTGCCCTGGCAAATCTGGTCTTCTCCAGCTGAAGCCCACACTTGACCCTGCCTCTGATATTTCTGAAATGTTGCAGGGCAGAAACCCCAGGGCTCTTTCCCTCTCTCTTCTTTGTCCAAATTTTTTCACCACTGGCCAGAACTAGAAGAAGAGATTTCAGGTCTATCACACCTGCAAGTTCCTGACCCAGTGACAGCAGAGGTTTTCAGCCCAGCTCCCCTCATAGGTATTTTTTTAGGATGATGAGACCAATATGAGCTCCATCCATCTTCCCCAGGAGGGTTTATTTTCCAGAGAAGACAGAGCTGTTGATGTTAAGAGAAATAATTTCACTCAGGCCTGTGCTCTGATCCTTTGGGTATACACCATATTTAGTCTGTTGCTGAGAGGGGGTTGTTTCGGTATTTTGTATTTGGCACGTCGATGGGAATTCCTAGAGGATCCTAGCTTTCCCTTTTTGGGATATCTCCATCCACAGGTCCTACTGCACAAGGCTGTTGGCTACAAGGGGAGGAAGGAGGGGGGACAGCTGGGGACTGAAGGTTTGGGGGGTGTGAGGAAGGTTTGATGAGGACCAGAGCACTCCCTAACCCCTGCAGGTCTGGCTCCCAGCGCCCTGTGCTGCTCTCCCTGCCAGCACACGGTGCCTGCTCCCTGCTCTGTGTGTGCATCCCGGGGACTGTGCCCCCCCCAGCTCTTCACCACTTCTCTTCTACATTTACGGGCACAGGGAGGTATTTCTTGGTATTTCTTATATATTAACAAGTATTTACAGTCCTTTCTCAAGAACTGAGCTGCACACTGGATCACAAAAGAAACTTAGGCAAATCTGCTGGGAAGGTGGCAAACAACCCTCTCATTTCCCAGGGGCAAAGGAGGCTTAAACCAGCCCCAGGCTCCAAATGTCACATAAACACAGAGAGACCCAGAGCCACTTCCACCCACACAGTCCTGCTGTGTTAGGAATAACCCTCTTTGCCCAAGCAACCCCTGAACTC